GAGCTCTCCTTTATTCAGGTCAGCTGTTTCTGTGGGTTTCACCAGCCTGAGCTGTGGGTTTTTAAAAGCGTTTTCCTTCTCATCTTCTGAATTCCTGGTGTCTGTTGTAACAATTCCCTGCTTGTCTGTTTTGATGGCCTGGCTCTCCTTGACCTTTCTTTTATTTAGTTTGGCTAAGAGTCTATCAATCTTGTTTATTTTTCCAAGAACCAGTTCTTAGAGTAATTGCTTCTTTGTACTGTGTTTGTTGTTTTCATTTTATTAATTTCTGCTCTGATTTTAATATTTATTTCCTTTTATTGAGTTTGGACTTGATGTGTTGTTTTCTAAACTCTTGATGTGCGTCAGTTTTTATTTGTGCAGCAGACTGATTTCTCAGGAGAAACCTTAAAAATAATAAACTGTAAATATGAAGCTGGGCATTGGTGGCACACACCTTTAATCCCAGCACTTGGGAGGCAGAGGCAGGCGGATGTCTGTGAGTTCAAGGCCAGCCTGGTCTACAGAGTGAGTGCCAGGACAGCCTCCAAAGCAATACAGAGAAACCCTGTCTCGAAAAACCCCAAATAAATAAATAACAAACTGTAAATATGAATGGAAGGAAGAGGCTGAGTTAAACTCACCAGGAGAGCTCAGGATATACTTTGTATCAGGGTATTTATAAATGTAGGGGTAGCTCAGGGTCCTTGACACTGGTCAAGATACCAAATGCTGCTCCTTAGGCCTGGGCCTGAAGGGGCAGAAGCAGGTGAGGGTCCCAGGTCAGACTCAGCAAGAGTGAGCTGATGTGGCTCATGCCTGGGCCACAGGGAATTGTGGAATAAAGAAACTGAAGCAAACACACCAAGAGACTCCATGGATGTGACTTCAGCCTGGGCTAGAGGCAGCTCAGGTAAGGGTCTGGGATCAGACCAGGCAAGACAATTCAAGAATGTAGCTCCCACCTGGGCCTGGAGAAGCTTGAGCTTCTGGGTCAGATTCAGCTGGAGAGTGTGAAGAATTATCGCTTGCTTGAGCCTGGACCTCTGGAAGGACAGTAGGAGGAGGGGACCTACTGTGAGTCACCAAGACAGCTCACAGATGTCAAGGACCTTGAGGGGCAGCATAGGCAGGCACTGCTGCCTGGGATTCAGAGTCAGATTTTCAAGAGAATGCAAGATTGGAGCTTCCTCCTGGGCCTGAGCCTGGAGGGGCAGCCTCACTGGATAGTGGTGGTGGGGGGAGGTTTGAGGGTTGTGGGGGTGAAGGGACTGTAGGGAGGGGTCCCTAGTCAGACTAGTTTGCATTAAATTGAAGTGTTTTTTAGTTTGCCACCTTCTTTATGTGCAACACCAGGAACCCCAGCTCAAACTTCAAACACACTAGCTACATACAGTGTTCCTTCTTGTTTATTATTTCAAAATAGCCAGGATCCACAGTTGGTTCTCATTTTTTGCAAAACATCAGAGACTGGTGGTATACAAGGACTTGGTCAGTGCAGCTTTACTAAAACTTGAAAACCTTCCTTGCCTCCTCAATTGTCTTCTCATCAGTGGGAGGTTTTCTCTGGCTGCCAGGTTGGAGGAACTTCTTCACATTGGGCAGGTTGCTGAGTCTGCTCTTCAGGGCCTTTAACACAGAAAACACAGCCTGAGAGTCAGAACTGCTCATGTGGACAGTCCAAACATCTGAGCCCCTCCCAGAACACGACCACCTGCATCCTTGCAACAGCTCCAGTGTAGACAGGAGAAGAATGACAAAACCAAGAGCTAGAAACCATAGGTCAGCATAACCTTCCTTAAGACCTCCTTTGACACCAACACCTTCTCCTCAGGACCCTGGGCATACCGTGTATATCTGGTTTTGTGGGGGTAGAGCAGAGAGCACTGTGTCTCTCAGGTGTGACAGGAGAGACTACCAAAGAAAACTGAAGACATGGGAACCTGAGTTGGAAATGGGAACAGAAAATATCACAGTCTAAAGTGGAGCAACTGACAGCCAGTTTTCACACTGGGGGATAAGGGTGGGGACACTGGGGGTGGGAGACAGCGTGGTGGGAGCTGTGGAGAGGGAAGCACAGTGCTGAGAAGTCAGAGCTGAGAAAGGGGATGAGCATGACAGAGACCTGCTCAGTCACTGAGTGTGCACAGACAGGACATGAGATGGAAGATGAAGGCCAGAAGAAACCTGCAAGAAACAGGGGCCCAGGGAGAGAGCTGTAGGGTCCTGCATTTTTTTCATTGAAAAAAAAAAATTCTTCTTGGGATACCAGCCTCACATCTCCATACGGAAGAAGATTGTTTCATGCCAGAAGCCAGGGTCTAATAGCTCAGTTTGGAGGCCCCAGGGTGGGACCTCAGCAGCCCACAGGCCACCATTTTATTCACTCAACTGATTTTCAGTGTGTGTGTGTGTGTGTGTGTGTGTGTGTGTGTGTGTGTGTGTTACTGCCTCTCTGACATGATCCCACCTTCAGCAGGGGAAAAGGGGCCAGAAGGCTGGAGTCCATCTCTTCAACATAGAGGAGAAGTTCCAGCAGGTGAATGTCCACCCTGGTCAGCCTGTTGCCAACAAGGTAGTTTTGTCCGTGGCTCTTCAACACCTGCAAAATTAAAGGAGACAGGTTGTAAACATAGAGTCGGACTAGGACCACTAACTTTTCCCAGGTCTCTCAAGGGGATACTCTGCCTCTGCTAAAATTCAAGTAAAGAACCATTAAAAGGCTTGTGCATTGTCCATGTATGCTGAGAAAAGAATTATTGTGTTACTTTGGATTAACTGGCCCCCATAATCTTATAGGGAGTGGCACTATTAGGAGGTGTGGCTTTGTTGGAATGAGAATGGCCTTGTTGGAGGAAGTGTGTCACTGTGGGGACAGGCTTTGAGGTTTCCTATGCTCAGGGTACCACCCAGTGAGTCAGTAGATTTCCTCTTTCCTGCAAGCCAAGATGGAAAAAGCACCATGTCTGCCTGCATGCCATATGCTCCCACCATGATGACAATGGACTGAACCTCTCAAACTGTAAGCTAGCCAATCCAATTAAATGTTTTCTTTGAAAGAGTTGCCATGGGTGGCTGGGTGGTGGTGGCGCACACCTTTAATCCCAGCACGTGGGAGGCAGAGGCAGGTGGATCTCTGTGAGTTTGAGACCAGCTGGTCTACAAGAGCTAGTTCCAGGACAGCCTCCTAAACCACAAAGAAACCCTGTCTCAAAAACCAAAAACCAACCAACCAAACAAACCCCAAAAAACAAAACAAAACAAAAAACCTCAATGAGTTGCTGTGGACATGGTATCTCTTCTCAGCAATGACAATGAAAACCCTAAGACAGACATTCAAAAGCAAACATAAGCCTCAAGTGTGCCTCAGTACATAGCTCATTGAATACAGGGAGCTCATGGTTCTCAATGAGACATGATTTAAGCTGTGATGGGTAGATAGTGTGTCCTATAAGACAGGCACTTACTTATCTGTCAGTACCATAGGCTGTAGAGGACTGTATGAAGACCTGATGGCTCCTAAAACACTCCCTTCTTCCATAGAAGGCAGCAGTGAGGGATCTTTCAGTGGATGACTAAAAAATAATGTGATGATTTATAACATAGATTTTACAGACATGTGTTGTTAGAACATAGTGTAAGAATAGAGTCATGTGAGGATATTTCTGAGTGCTTGTGAGAAATTCCCAGAAACCAAGACAAGAGTCTTATGACCTTAGTTTCTTCAACATTCGTAGAACTGAAGCCGGGCAGTGGTGGCACACGCCTTTAATACCAGCACTTGGGAGGCAGAGACAGGCAGATCTCTGTGAGTTCCAGACCAGCCTAGTCTTCAAGAGCTGGTTCCAGGACAGAATACAAAGCTACACAGGGAAACCTTGTCTCAAAAAACCAAAAAACAAACAAACAAACAAACAAACAAACCAAAAAAACAAAACAAACCAAAAACGTAGAATTGCTCTTGGATTATGTTTTCCTGCCATTTCCAAGTATAGTGGATAGAAGTGAGTCTACTTCAAATTATTCATTATATTCATTACAACAGGCCATTGTCACCTGTTTATATACCTCTATGGAGAAACATGTTTTTAGCATTTTCCACTTGGCCACTATATGCGGCTTGCTCTTGTGACTGTACACTTTACTCATGTGACTTCTCCTAACCCTCCAAATAAAAATTGTCTGATGCTCTGAATAAAGTTGCCTATTGCATGAGACTTGAGTTTGCCTCCAATCTCCCAGGTCACACAGCCTCTAAGCAGTAAACAGGGTCTCTCAGGACTGTGTAGGAAGCCCCTTTCCTCTAGGATCATAGCTTTGTCCTTATCTTTACTTGACAGAAGTTCAAGTAGTTCTGGGGTGTTCTTGATCTCCCTCCAAAGAGCAGCCCTGACTAAGAGGAGCTACGTCTACGCTGACACACCTTCATTTGCTGAGTGTGCATGGCTCTCCTCCCAAGCCTGGCATCTGTGAGCCCACTTCCTGCTGGTCAGTTTTCCTTAATATCTCTTCATCAACCTCCTCCCCTCCCCCTCCACCACTGTCCTTGTTCAGGATCTTCTGCTCCATCTTTGAAGTACTGTCATATTGTCCTGACAGTCTGTCACTCTCTGACCTCCCTGTGTGTGATATTTTCCCATCTGTCACTTTCTTCAGTTTGCTCTGGAATTGAAGCCCATTGTGTTCTGCAGGATCTAGGTCCTTCTCTGGTGTGGCTCAGGCTTCCACAGATCAAGTTCTGGCTGTGGCCATGGACCCTGTTGTATATGGACCACCTGACAGGCAGGACCATGCAGTGCTCCAACACAGGCCACTTTTATACAGTGCCCTGAGGGCCAGGGAGCTGCACAGGAGGCTCATGGATGGTCAGTGAGGCAGCGAGCATCCTCTTGGGCCTCTGCCTTTCTCTTGTCCTTGGAACTCAGTGTCCCCAGACTTCAAAGAGCCTACTTACTTTTTCAAAGGCAGGCAAGTACCGGTTTTTGGTCCTGTCTTTTATCAAAGCAATCTTGGCTTCTTTTTGGTCTGGGGGTGTGACAACCAAGTGTATGATCATTTCACTCAGATCAGCAATACCCTCTGCATACATGTCAATCCTGAAAGACAAAATTATTTGAATGGTCAAGACTTTTCAGGGATTCACTATTTTACATTTTAATCTAAACCCCGAGAAATTTACACAGAAAGGTAGTTGTAAAGTTATATGTTGTACTCCTCTTTCATCTATTATTGATCATCTTGGCTGAGTCCACCATGGGAAAATGATAAATAATGCTGCTAGGAGAATTTCCATACAGGCACTATTAAAGCCAAATCTCTATTTCCCATGGATATAAGTTTCCTGTACTAGTGTTGCTGGCTAGCAGCACATTTACCTTTTGAGCAATACAACCACACAGTGATTGATGAATGAAGGATTTCTCAAGCAGAGTGGGTCCCAGCATGGGTGGTTAAGTCAGATTGGCTGCTTTAGTCTTGAATTAGAAGCTTCAGCTAAAACTGGTCCCTGGGAGCCAGTCTCTCTAAGCCTCATAGAGTTGACCAGTCCATAGAACTGGGTGGGAACTCAGGGTCTTGCTCTGCACTATTCCCACTCCTGGGATGTGGGAAGCAGCTCCTTCCCCCTTCCTTCCCTAGGAGTCCTCCTCTAGCCTCAAGCCCCATGTCCTTTGTCCTAAGCTGTTGGCTGAGGTCCAGCCACTGAAGCCTTGAGCCCTTGGTGTCATGATTCCACCATGCTCAGGGCCCTTGGCCCATCATGTTTGCAGCTCTGTCCCTGAGCCGTGCTGGCAGCGTCATGCTCTGCTGTAGTCACACTCACCTGAGCTCACCCCACTTGCTCTCCCCTCTCCTCCATGGACTCTTCCATCCTTGGCCCAAGTGTTCATATCCATAACCAGCCCCCTTTTAGACCCAAACCCCGCCACTCTCTTGCTCATCAGTGGAGGAACCCAAGTCCTTCCTTTGTTTCTCCTTGGAGTAATGACAGGAAATATACCGTACAGGGCTCTCTCCTTCACGTCTTTCCCATAGAGGTCATATTTGGTGGCAATGTAGTTGAGAATGGCTCTGGTCTGTACCAATGTCATCCCATCAATCTCCACCATGGGCACTTGCTCAAACATCAACTTCCCATCTTTGAAAGAAGAAAAGAGAAAGGTTTGTGAGGTGTGCAGGTCTCACTTCCCAGAACCAGAAAAGTTGTATTGAAATTTCTGATCAGGTAAAGGAAAGCTAATGATTGGCTGCCAGTCTCTCGAGTAAAATCCTAATTACTTTTCACTTCTGTTTTTAATTAACAGTCATGTGTTTGTGTGGTTGTGGGCAGTGTATGTGAAACACTGACTGAATGAGCTAGTGAGCCTGACTAAGATAGCTCCCTCTGGTGTAGAAATAATAGAAAATGTTAACTAGCTACTTGGCAAATTTTGGAGAAAACCAATTTCCCTACCCTTATCACCATTTCCATTTTCAGATCACTCAAGGAGCCCCACCACCTACATCATATCACTCTGCCATTCTTGACTGTTCCCACCCATGGGTAGATACTTAAGAAGAAAAGGTAGCTATAACCATCAAATAGAAGGAATGTGCCATACGGTAAACTTTACAGCTGTCTCTCAAAAAACTCTATTTCTCTTTATTTCCTAGTCCCTATTCAATTAAACCAATGCTGGACTTAGAGGTGGATTTGGCTTTCCTCCTCTAAAATCCAAGCACATTATTTAACTAAGCTTTAGTGTTTCTGTGTTGTATCAAGAAGCCAATTGATGTAATACAGAATAAAAGAAGAATTTGGGGACTGTCTTTGTCTTTTCTTGGATCTTTCTCTCAAGGTGTACACCCTTTCATAATTGTTATGCTCTCATGGTTGCATTCCCTAGCATGTGTACATACATAAGTAAACATTTCTCTACTAACTGTTCATGTTTGAGTCCCACAGAGCCAATGAAGACCTGCCTGACAGCAATCCCTGGACACCCTGGAAAGAAAATGGGCCACAGCTCCTCGACTGCACTGGATCCAACTTGCTCCATTTCA